AAACTCACATTCAAGGCTAAGCTTGGTACCATCAAGCATACCAGATCGACACAAACTAGATCGGCCAAAATCATTCTCAACAACCTATAATCAATCATAAACATTTCCTATCTGACTCTCACATCGGCCTTAAAAGCATTTAACCTTAGCAACATGAGATTAGGTCCACAGCATAATTTCCAAAATGCATACTCAAAAAACTCAAGATCGGACTAGCAAATACACGTGCCAAAAAGGGCTTAATTAGGCACCTATCTACTCAATGAGGGAGACAAAATGTTAGGTCCAAAAGGTATTTTGGTCATTGTTTCTTATTAGAGATAGTCAACAGATAGTAAAAAGCATTTTTGGACTTTTTGGTCGACCTAACATGTCAGACCAACCTGTAATATCAGTACCACGTCAACTTTATCATGTCATCACTCACCCTGCAAACCCTTCACTTTTTGCCTATAAATAGGACCTCTCAGGTACCATCCAGCCATTTGACTTTTCTTTTATTTTGCTTTATTTTCTTTTCCTACTAACCTCTTTTATTTCAATTCCTAACTTGAACGTCTAAATGCAAATTTAGAGGACACTCTCTATCTTTGCTTTTAACTACTTTCTTTCTTATGATTTTAAGGTTTTATCCCTCAACTCAGAGCTTAACACAAATAATAACCATGAATTTTTTTATAATAACCATGGGAATTCCTCCATGAATTACAATGATTCTATGTCTTTATGTGAATGTTGCACTCCCAGCCTGAAAACTGCAGGTCAGTGCGCATGGATCATATGATCACGCCCATTTTGCTCGTGTTATTTGCAATTTCTTTTTCTTTGTACGTCACAATAATAATGATGCTTTCTGCAAAAGCTATGGCACTTTTGGAGACTTTCAGCGAACTACCTAAATCATGAGTTAGGCGATCAGAATCAGAGTTAATTTATTAACTAAGCAATGGCGATGGGCCCTTGGAGCTTTGATTTCAAGGCACTACTGTTTAAGAACTAACGGAAAACTTTAAGCTCAAAAGTCAAGTTTCAAAACTTGACTTTTCTTCATCTGCACGATTTGCTCAAATTCTGAAACTACTAGGCTGTTTTCATGCTGTAAATTTGTTGAAAGTCAACAAGGAATTTAATCTCTTGCAGTAAATCTAAATATCTTCAACAAATATAACTTTCCCTTTCAAATATAAAAATCTTTTGCAGCATTTGCTTCAATTTCAAGTAGTTGGCATCAAGAAAGATGAATTAGAAATAAATGCATTCAATGCGAGATTCCAACCTTTTCCTATTTGAGAAAATCTAGCAATTTGCTTAATTTTTATTACATTTAATATTAGACTACATAATAAGAGGTACAATATTCAAATTTAAAACTTCTAAGATAGACTCTTAAATTCCAATCGTTAGCATTCCACTGTGGAGATTCGGTAATTTGCTTGATGACAATATATTTACCAAAAAAAAAATTTTAATTAAATTACATTGTAATTCTTTATTTTGGAGGAATTTAATATAAAAAAATTGGAGTAGTTCAATCTAGATTCAGCACAACTTTTATACTTAGGATCATCTTAAAAACATAAAATTTTAAGCATCATTAAAATAATGTCAGCTCATATTTATAAAAAAAAAAACATATAAGTTATTATTGTGTACTCATCCTCACCAAATTAACTAATTCTCTAACTTGTTAACTTAATATTAACTCAAATAACTTGTATACTAGTAAGACTCTTAAAAGTTATGAGTTCAAAAAAAATTAGACACATATAGTAGCAGAGTTATCTTTAGTGTGAGCGTATCCACGGGCACCCTCAAAATTGAAAAATAACAATATTGAAAAGAAAATTTTTTATCGAATACTCTCAAAATTTTTCTATAAAAACCCCTAATTGAAAACAAAAATGAAAGGAAAATTTTCTTGGACACCATAAAATTGATAAATCTATCAATAATTTTATATATATATTATAAATGGATACTCTAAAAAAAAAAAATCTTAAATCCGTCACTGAATATGTAATGTCTATTCAAGTGAATTAAAACAAAAATTGAAAGTTAAAGATAGATTAAGAATTTTTTTAATTAATAATTAATTAAGAAAAAAAAAGGAATAAACATAAAATTATTGTTAAACATGATTTACGGTGATAAAAACATAATCCTAAAATCTGCCTAGGGTTAAAAGAAAAAATCATAAACCTAATAGTGGCCACAATGAAACAAAAACTGCTTGAAACAAAATTAATTAAACTTCCCTCCATGGCATCTGTTAATTTTTTTTTTTTTCTTTTTTACGTATTTTAAGTTTTAACTGAAATATTAGTAGCTAATCTTCCAGCTATTATATAAGGTATATATATAACCAACTAAACTTTTTTTTTTTTTAATTCTGTACTTTCTTCGTTTGCATTTGGCTTTTAAAACTTAATTCTTGGAAATAAGTTGTGGTCGATGAACTTTTCCTTTTGTACTTTTTTTTTATTTTTTATTATTTATTATTTTTTGTAATGCATGTTGTTCGTTTTCTTAAGAGAGAATTTAAAATATATTTTTTTGAACCAAGAAATAAATGTACTTATCATTGCCAAATGTCGCAGTGCTAATGCCCTTTCATTTTTGTTCGGGAAAAAAAAAAGTTTAAAAAGAAACCATAGAGGAAATAAATGCCTATGGGTCTATTCTTCTTTATTCAATAAAGCGTTGTCCTTTTTTTGTAGTACTACATTTAATAAGGCTAATTAATCTTTGATGTTAACTTGACAATTCTAACTTCATTAGGTTTTTCCATTCGGTTACAAACATGTAGTTTTGCCAAGTTGTACTCCCTCTCTGTACGTTCCTATATTGTATGACATTATTTAGCGTTTGTGGAATTTTTTTGGGCCAAAGAGGATTTAAAAAAATTATTTTAGAATTTAGTATATTTTATATAAATTTTTTAAAAAAAAGTATAAAATTTATGTTCCCTATATTTTAATGCAGAAAAATAAAAATATATAAATAAATTTAAAATATAAAAACGGAGTATTAAATGTTAAAAAATAGATACTTTGAGACCACCAATTTAGAAAAAAAAAATGAAACATAGGGAGTAATAATATTAATAGCATTTATCAAAATATTTTATATATACACTGAAAACGTTTCCGAATACCATTATAAGTGTTAAAATTTACAATCATACGAATCAACTAAGCTAAATTTTAAATTAAAAAATAAATATTTGAATTTAAAAACAATAATATTTTTTTAAGATTATAAGTAATATTTTGTTTTATAGATAACAAAGTGCATGATTAATTAATGCCAGTATGTAAATCATCATCCAAACAAAGTATCAAGAAATGAAAGAAATAAATGATTGAGATGTATTGAGAATTAAAACTGTTAATTATAAGCATTCTATTTCATGCATAAAATAATATATAGAATAAGATGATAATTATTTTATATTATATTAAATTGTATTTAATAAAAGAGATAAGATTATAAAAAAAAATTATTATCATCTTGATATAAGATGATTCAATATTTTTAAAGTGAAAAAAATTATTTTTAATTCAACATATTGGACCTACATATTTTATTATTACATCAATAATTTAAATTGTATAAATTTTGAAAAAAAATAATTTTGATTAATAAATAAATTATTATATTTTAATCTTTATACATATCAAATATAAAATAAAATAATATTATTTTATTTTATTTTATTTATAATATTATTTTATTTTATCATAATTTTATATACCAAATATAATTTTACTCTCTAATTAGGCTTTAAACATCGTTTTCAGCATGGTAACCGGTACCTTTCTAATATAAAAGAAAAAAAAAAGTATCAAAACCTTTTTCATTTCATGATTCACATTGGCGTCCTTACTCCTTGCGTAAATAAGGCTGTATTTGGTACGAAAGAAAGAATTAATTTAGAAGAACAAGAATTTTAATGAAATCATACAAAAAAATTATAATCAAAATCAATTATTACATCCATATATAATATATCATTGAATAATCTTCAGATAAATTAAAATATAATTAAACAATCAAACCCAACACACATTAAAACTTAAACAATTAAACTTAAGATTTCATAATTCTAAAATCTCCTGATTGTCACTCAACTAATGCTTCATCTTCAAGAATCATGTTAATTAAACAGCAAAATGAGAATAAAAAATAATGCTGGCCCGTTCACATTTCGCTTTCTATTTAATCTCCTTTTCCAAAGTCAGCAATATTTTCAACATTGAGCTGTCATGATGTTCTTGAAATGTTCTCATTCAACACGTAATATAAAAATATTTCTAAAAAAAAAAAAAAACACCTAATATAAATATATAATGCAAATCCCTTCAAATGCTACTGGCTCTTCTTTAGAATTCTTGCTGCATTTCGGTTTTGTTTAACCAGTTCCACTTCAAATATGCGATGGTTGGATATAACTAATTCTAAGTATCTTAAAATTTTCTTTTACAAAGATATCTCAGTCTAAAAATTAAAAAAAAAAAAAATCATAGGTGCTGAAATTTGAATTTAAATTTATTTGATATCATTCATAAAAATGATTATATAAATCAGTTAAATTAAATCTGAAATTTTTTTAATTAAAATTATCAAAATTTTAACCTTAATCACTATAATTAAGAGTTCACATTCTATCATTCAGCTCACAGTTAAATTTCAATTAATTTCTTTACCTACTACAAAAGGAACACTTGGTAAAAAAATAATAATAATAAGTTTAAGGGCGTTTAAACATGAAGCGTGTCACGTTCAAAATATTAAACTCAAGTTATTAATAGTAAATACTCTAACAATTGGGACATGAAACTTTCAACGTGAATTTGGATATACCGGATAAAGAATTTGTATCAAAATCTTCGTCTTAATTTTTAGTTATTTAATTAAAGCACTCAACTGATGAGCAGGCAAACTTAAATGGTTAATGGTTAAATGCATGTATAATTGTATATATGGACTTTTAATCAATGAATCCAGTTGCCAACGCGCTTTTGCTTGGATTACCGTTTTAGTTGCTTTGCGCTTTTGCTTGGATTTCCGTTCTAGTTGCTTTATGCTTGTTTTTAGTACTAATGTCTTTCATGTTTGATTTACAAATATATGCAGGAATGTGACTATAAAACTTTGTTTGATGCTCCAATTTCAGTAACTTGATTCATCTTAGGAGAAGGAAAAAAGAGGAGGATGAAGAAAGACAAAAGTGAGACGAAAAAGTCATGTAAGCAATTCTTCTATTCTGTGATTTGTTGCTGCTTTTTTTTTTTTTTTTTTGCTTTGTTTAGGAAACCAACAATCCTGGATTTTTCTTGGTTGCAGTTGTGCCATTGTTGTGCACCACCATCGCATTTCTCTTTTTTCTGGTGTCCCCTGCTACTTCAAGTCAGGATGTTATAAGTGCCTCTACCAAACAGAGGCGTGAGGAAATTGTTGCACGTCAAGGTGCAGTTGCTACTGATGATGGCCGATGTTCCAAAATCGGGATGAATGTTCTTCGGATTGGAGGTCATGCTGTTGATGCAGCTGTGGCTGCTGCTCTTTGCTTGGGCGTTGTAAGCCCAGCATCAAGCGGCTTAGGTGGAGGAGCGTTCATGCTACTCAGGGAAGCTAATGGGGAGACACAGGCATTTGATATGAGAGAAACAGCTCCAATGAAAGCTTCCCAGGTGCACATATTGTTTTTCAACCGACATGTTGAATCCATCTTCTGCATTTTCTTCATTAATCATTCCATTTTTCTCCCTATTCAGAATATGTACGCTGGAAATGCTACCCTAAAGGCAATGGGTGCCCTCTCTGTAGCTGTGCCAGGGGAACTTGCAGGCCTTCACAAAGCTTGGAAAGAACATGGTAGGCTTCCATGGGAACGGCTAGTGAAACCAGCTGAGGTTCTTGCCCAGAAAGGGTTCAAAATTTCACCATATCTCCACATGCAGATGGAAAGTTCAAAATCAGCAATCTTGGCAGATAAGGGGCTCCATGACATCTTCACATCAAATGGGGAGCTTTTGCAAATAGGTGACATCTGTTACAATAAGAAACTAGCAAAAACACTTCGAAAGATTTCAAAATACGGTGTGGATGCTTTCTATAATGGATCGATCGGATTTAAATTGGTAAGAGATATTCAGAAAGCTGGAGGGATACTGACATTAAATGATCTGAAGAAGTATGAAGTTAAAACGAGGGAACCAATCTCAGTTAATATTCTAGGCCTTAAAATTCTTGGCATGCCACCTCCTTCATCGGGAGGTGTTTCAATGATGCTTGTAAGTGTATTCTGGTTCATGCTTTGCCTATTCGTAATTTATCAAAAAAAGGGGGAAATTTAATAACTTGGCCTTTTCTGATTCTCCTGTTACAGATATTGAACATTCTTGCTCAATATGCAGTCCCTTCTGGCCTTTCAGGATCACTTGGAATCCATAGACTAATTGAAGCCTTGAAACATGCATTTGCCGTGAGGATGAATTTAGGTGATCCTGAATTTGTTGATGTTTCTAAAGTTGTAGCCGATATGCTTTCTCCCAAGTTTGCACAGGAGTTGAAGAAAACCATTTTTGACAACATGACTTTTGGCCCCAGTCACTATGGTGGAAGGTAAACTGTTTCATTCAACCACAGTGCACAGGCACAGTAAAGCAATTGGCAAATTGCCTTTAAGTGTTGCCAAAATTTTCATTATATTCTTTTCTATCCTCATGTTTGATTTCTTCCATTAGATTAACTTTGGTGGTGGCTTGTCTTCCAAAATTTTCCATCCTGGCAGGTGGAATCAAATTGATGATCATGGCACCAGCCATGTATCCATTGTGGATAGTGAGCGAAATGCTGTATCAATGACTAATACAGTGAATGGATACTTTGGTTCAAAAATACTGTCACCAAGTACAGGAATAGTCCTCAATAATGAAATGGATGACTTCTCCATGCCCAGCAACAGCTCCGGAAATGCTCCTCCCCCAGCACCGCCCAATTTCGTCCGCCCTGGAAAAAGGCCCTTATCTTCTATGACACCTATAATTGTATTGAAGGTTTTCAGCTTCAAACATAATCTAACTTGTAAAAATTATTGGTATTCTATTTCTGGTTGACCATTTTGGGAAACTGGATCTCATTCATGTTTCTGCAGGATGAGAAGCTGATAGGAGTGGTTGGTGCAAGTGGAGGAGCTAATATCATTGCTGGGACTACAGAGGTTTTCTTGAATCATTTTGCTCGGGGGATGGATCCACTCTCGTCTGTCATGGCTCCGAGGATCTACCATCAGGTTTTTGCAGAAAAATCTTGCCAAATTGGCATTGCTTTTCTTATTATTTATTATTATTCATTAAGCTAGATGGCTAAGGCTAAGAGTGTGATTTGTTTTCCCTGTGTTTTATGCAGCTGATACCCAACGTGGTGAAATATGAGAACTGGACATCTGTCACTGGAGACCATTTTGAAGTTCCTGCTACAATCAGAAGAGACCTTCAAAAGAAGGGCCATGTCCTGCAAGGCCTAGCCGGTGGGACTATTAGCCAATTTATAGTTCATAAATTAGATGCTTTGAAGGGAAATGGAAGCACTGGAAAACTTGTGGCAGTTAGTGACCCAAGAAAAGGAGGGTTCCCTGCCGGTTTCTGATGAGCCATTCTGTGGGAGTTGGGACGGTTGGAGAGGCAGATCTTTGCTCTCTTCTAGTAGTATCATTTTCTCTCTTGCTTGAAGAATCAAATTACCTATTTGATTAAATGGTGGCAATTGAATATTGGATTTTTTTATAAAAAATGAAGTTCATTAATGCTAAGCTGATTACATTCAGAAAAGACAGTGGACTGAAAAATGATAATTTTTTAAATAAATTCTTGAGATAAAGACAGTTATTAGATCCATAAAAATGTTAAAAGTCAATGAATTTTAAAATTCTTCAATATATACGAATATTAATTAAATATATAAAAATATTTGAATACATAGTGATATAAGAGTATCGACAAATCTAAATATCTATATAAGCAATATACTTAATATAAATATCAAATGTTGCAAATATTTATACTTTTTAATTTTTTCTTTAAATTTTTTTATGAGTCAATTGATCAATACAACATTGCAAATATTTGAATGTATACATTTTTTTAAAAAAATGATATGATAAATTAAGTTTGTAATTGTGAAATATTTAATTGTAATCATAAAATGAATAAAAAATATTTTAAGAAATAAAATAAAATTAACATCTAATAAATTATTACAAATATCTTTATTTATAAAATATATTTTGACTATTTAATTTATATCATTAAAATAAAAAAATAAATATAAAAAAATCACAAAGTAAGGGATGCATCCTAGTTTGATTGAAAATACAAATGATACACCAAATTACAGCTTTAACAAAAGCAATTTGACCAAGGAATCAAACATAGAAAAAAGAGTTTTTTTTTTTTTTCTGATTCTTTTGGTGATCAAACAAATTAATATATGAGACTCATGGCAAGGTTCCACATCTGTGTCAAACTTCAACAAGTTAGCAGTGCTGCCTAAACGAGGCTTGAAGCCGGGGTACTGCCGGAGAGAATCCTTGGCAATGAACCTGCAAACAAGCACTACAACGGAAACAAATTGTTTTGCTTTTCAGGTTGAAAGTATTTTATGAACCAAAGAGTTAATAGTAAGTGCAGCTCTTTTAGCATACTCTGAATGTTTCAATACATCAGCAACCTTTCACAATTATGCATTGGCCTTGTTCATTATACAGGAAAGGGCACTTAAAAAATTTTACATGAAAGTTTCAACTGGGAATATAACTTAAATTTAGAACCTATATATATCCTTTCAAGAGTATTTATAATGTACAACACAGCATTGAAAATTGATTTAATCACCACTTTCCCCTAGGTAGAAATAACTACTCATATGCACAACATCTCAGATCTCAGTTTGCTGGAAAGCTGCTTCAAAAAATGTCGGCAGCATAAATTGATGCTAATTATGTTTGTAATGGCATTTACCAAAAGGCACCTCTGTATGCAGGAATAAAGATGCAGTGATCGTCTACCATCACGCACGTAGGATCTTCTACCGTAAAGGCTAGGCAGGCTCATGAGGACGGGTAGCCCATAGTGTACTCAAAGCCCGAAGACGCTGGAAGTATTCTCCCAAAGCAAGTAAGCCTCGAGCAGCCTGGCGAGTTGTTAGGATGCGAGACATCTGCCGCAGTGTTTCCTGCTGAAGGTGGTCAGCCTGCATATAGAAAAATATCCGACATTAGTTTAAACTTGAAAACATCACTCGGATGCCTTTTCTTAATCTCTAAAACATTAATAAAATTTTGTTACCGAGATTCTAACACATCAAATTCTCCTAAACGTGATTTTAGTAAACAAGGCAATGTTGTGCTCATACATTGTGACGGCAACTACCTTCTCTAATTGAACTGAAATGGTTGTTACCAACCTAGTTCACAACAATAAATCTATTAACCAAGACCTCCACGGTTTAGGACCTTTCTGTCTGGGAAGCCATAGGTTTTCCAAAATAAGATAATTAGAAAATTCCAAGGATATCATGTAACCCATATTACCCATCATAATAGGTGCAGCATATATTGTTAGACATCATTTTGAAATGCAAAAGAAACAAGGATTGATTAAAAATCCAAGACTTGCCTATTATAATTTCACTTCAAATGCATGGATAAAGAACCAACTGATGGGTAAAATATATGGACTATGAAAAGAAGAGCAAAAGCAGAGAAAAAACTAATTCCAGAAAGTTCTTGGAATAAACTCATGTGTGGCACCTGGCATGATGCAATTTGTACCTGGTTCACAAAGCTGACTAAAGCTTCTAACTTCTCCATTGCAGTAGCCACCTGAGGAATGTAATTACCTTCACCCAGCTGACCAGCCGCCACAGTCGCAGCCACAGTTTCCTGAAGTTTCTCCATACCTTGCGAAAGGGCATCTTCAGCTTGCTGACACGATTGTTTCAGGTTACAAACTTCCAAAATTTGCTGTTCTGTCAAGGGGTCAAGCTGAGGCACCAGCACCTGTAATCAGTATATAATCACAAGCAAATATTATTCAACATTTAGCAATAGAACATGGACCAGAATTCCAATAAAAAAAACAAGAAATTATGCCCTTCAAGTAACATGGGAGTACAGAGTTACTTTGCTAAAGAAGCATTGATCAACGAGTGTGCTTAATGATAATTGGATGGAAAGACCAAGAAGAACCAACATTAGGGTTACAAATGGCCCAGTTCAGTGCTTGTGCCGGGAAACTAAATATTTCGTTCATGATAAAAAAACCCAGGAAAACCCTAACAGAGAGTAATTACAAAAGATTATCATAGAAAATCATTATACATAACTGTTTTTTGTTTACGTATGCACAAAGGGGAGGGGCGGGGGTATTCTAATATGGATCAACAGTTTCTTTTAGGATAACTGAAATATCAGTTTCAGAGGGAACATGTGAATAACTAAAAGAGATCTGTCTAGATCAACAGAAAAGCATTCAGAAGAACATAATATCCACTTGATGAGTTACATATCACAGCAATGTTATATAGACAAACCAACTAACCAAAACGGATAGATAGAATTACAATTCTCTAACCAAAAGGGATATGAACAATTAAGGAGAGAAAGGCCTCTACGTTGATCAAGTCAAGATAGACAAACCTATTAACTGAAGAAAAAAGCAAGATAAACAGAGAGAATAGATTTGCTTCGCAAGCATTGTTTCCACGGACCATGGCTTCTGAGATCCAAAAATAATCAAAGAAACTTTAAATCTTTTTTTAAAATTTTAGACAAAAATATACGAAAGTTAGACAAGATAGAAATTATTTGTGCATATACATCCACCAATAGACAAGTCAAACTAACATAGTCGTTCATTTAAAGTTTCATCAGTGCCACCTGCAGAAAGAATTTGCAGTTAGACCCTCAGCTATAGGTTCTTCCCCTCAAAAGTCCAACATGCAAAAAACGAATGCATGATCTACAATTAATTAAACTAAATTATGCATCACCTTAAGAAGTTCTGAAGGGCGAAAGCCTCCAATCCAAGAAAAAAATTGCTCTGCTGATGTTTTCCACATACCAGACATCACATAGAAAACATCAGCCTTTGCAGCAGTTGATTTCATGCGGAAAAGTTCAAAATAATGGCTCATGCCATTTTCAACTAGCATGCGAAGCTCTATATCACTTATATGGGCATTCAAAGCAGTCCTCAGTTCACATATTTGTCTACTTTGTTCTTCCATCCAATGTCCATATTCCATCTCAAATGTGGCAATCCCTGCAGAATTCTCAGATGGGCTAATCATTGAAAACACTAAAGAATAAAAATTAACTTGTAATGAGAAGAAAAAGGCATCATAGTGAATTATTGAGAAAGATCGCATTTAACACGTCAAAGAGTTTTCAATGAAGCTTTATATCATACCATAAAAAATTTCAAGGTGGTCTGACAATAACGGACCAACTATCAATTTAAAATGCCTTTATAGCACACAAATACAGAATGTAGTTTAATTTTTATCAAAAGAGTGTAGTTTCTGATATTATTTATACAATAAGCTATATAATCTTCAAGTGCATGTGAAAGGAGGTAGCAAAGATAGTCTATGCACCCCAGTTGGCTCCAGAGATGTGACAAGTTGAGAGAAGTTGAAATATGTTTATCTCGTAAGGTGTAAATCGACACCAGTGAAAAGAACTACTCACTCATGAAGAGATAAATACAGCTTCAATTAATCAAAATCATAAAAGTGGGCTTGAGAAATATGACACAATGAGAAAAGTTTAAGTAGCTTCTCTCTAGAGGTGCAAAATTAACTCCTAAAGAAGTTAAGATCTTTCATAAACAATATGCAACTTCCCTAGGAAAACTTGTAACTTCCAATAAACAAAGTGTAATTTCGACATTTTTTACTTGAGGAAATAAAGTCAGCTGCAATTCGAGAAAAAGTTTAAATACATTTTCTTAGAAGACAAGAAATGACAGGCTCATGTTGGTTTCACTAAGATTTCACTAAGGCGCAAGGGGGGGGGGGGGGGGGGGGAGGTTGTTAATAGTAATTTGGCGTGCACATATAGTTGCACATAGAAAACTTGTCGGTTAGGAATATATAATCTTTAGAGGAGAAAAAAATACAAAGAGTAGATAGAAAATAAGAAGCATCTAATATAAGGATATCACCGGGACATTATTAGCAATATATGACTTCAACTTGGGCATTATTCTCTGTGGTGAGAATATGTTCCAACAAAGTTTGTTTAATAAAAATGTTATCAGGGGCCAGGATGAGAGAGTTTCCTTTCCCCCAAATAATTGGTAGGTAACAATTTTCAAATTCTAATTCATGCTTTCTCAGAAAAACCATTCTAATACTTAATCTGATGGTGCAACATCAATCTAACCACATAAAAGTAGAAAGAATACATGATTGTAAGTCCCAAAGTACAAGAATTTTGAAATGTCAGATACTGAAACAACTAAATAATCTTACAGATTATCAACAAGACAAAGCAATATTTGGAGCAAGGAGTTCAAAAGTAATAACAGTAATTGCCAGTGCTTTTACAAACAAACCTGAGTTTACTGCTCCAGAGAATCCAAGATGACCACTTTCTAACCCACCACCCATATAAGGACCCTGCAGTAATGGATTTATTGCTTAAGTGGCTTTAAACATTTTTAAAATGACAAAAAAGAAAAAAAGAAATAGATATAATATTCATCTTCTTCAAACCTGCTGCCTCACTCGTTCAAGCTCTTGCTCCAATTGAATCAACTTTAAACGACTATTTTCTAACTGTTGAACATATGCCTGAAAGGCAATGCCAAAAAAGTTATTACAAAAATTCACATGTGCCCTTCTGGCCATTTGTTTCAGTGCACATCCATATCCATATTACCTTTTTCCGCAAACGGCTTTTACGAGCAGCCTCACGGTTTTGTGCGAGACGTCTTTGTATCTATAGAAATTAAAGGTAAAATGCACAAACAGATTAGACCCATAATAAGGTAAACAGATTATCACCAAACTTACAACAATTAAAATGACAATTATTCTATGGATTTAGCAACTAACAAATCAAAATGCTTTGAGGTACACAAAATTTTTTTCCATTTAAATTAGATTGTTCAGATAACAAGCATGTTAATTAAAGAAGTGGATCACCATTGAGCTACACACAGTTGCATACAAGCCTAGATATTAATAAACAAGGAAGCCTTATTAGTTAGTGGAAAATAAAAATATCTCCATGCTAACAATAGAAAACTACAAAACATCAGATAACAAAGTCATTAGCACGAACTAATGGGAAAAACAAACACCATAACTGCATTTCCAAGACTCATCTTAAAAAAGTTAAAAGTTTCCATGCATTTACCACACTTCAGAACCGCAAGATTTGCAAACACTGCGAGCAACTACTCTTTTAGGAAACACAAGTGAGCATGCACCAAATACAATTCAGAGGGAAGAAAAGGGGAAACAATTAATTACAATCCAAGATGGCAAAATAAGAGCTTGTTTGTTTGCAAGAAAAAAAAATGCGAAGGATGGCTGAAATCTGCATGTGCCAGAAAATGATCAGGGAAAAAGGAATCAAACCTAGAAGTCCAGGAACTGAAAGTGGTAACATTTTTTTCAAATTCCAAAGGAGAATCTATCAACAAACCAATAGGTACAATCTATCCAATATCATACAGCATCATCCAGAACAATATTTATATCCATCAAAAAGAGAAAAGAAATAAACAATCAGCATCACGTACAATTCACACTTACCTTATCAATAGGTTTAGTTGCCTCTTGGTCATACTTGTTAGAAGGTGCTAGCATTTCATGTGAACCAGTCTCAGACTGGAAAATGAAAGTAACAAAGATTACTTATCTTCAAAATCAGATAAATGTGTTTTAGCTACCAAGCAAAAGAATAATATCTCCAAAATTTGCACCTCGTTCTCTAGCTTATTATCCACTTCTACAATCACTGATGCAGATGTAGTTGGATTGCCATTACTCTTAAAATTTTCTCCCCACATGCTAATCTGGTGGATAGGCTCATAGATATCCATCCTTCTTGAAGGTATAAAGGGGGTGGATGGAGAGTTCATGCTTCTTGAACTGATAATGAAGGCAGCTTTTGGATAAGTTATATTGATATTCAAGGCATTTGAGAGCTAAAGTCTGGAAGGAAACAACACATAGACACATATAAGCTTTGCTCAGAGAGTAAGAAAACAGGCATAATAGCAAACATGTGACCAGAAACAGAGAAGATGGTTATAAAAGTTAATTGACAACCCTCAAAATACTAAAATGACAAGATGCAGCACAAACAAATGGAATCTACTGAAAATTTTATATTTTGCTTTGCTAGGTAATGTTCGTAGGTTTACATGTTTTCCGCATATTTTAAGACAATTCCAATCAGATAACTTACATTCTAAATTGAGAATCACCCACCAATAACTCAACACATTTAACTAAGGAAAAAAAGGCATAGTCAAGGTGACCATGCATCATGTCTTTGATTTCCCAAACATCATGCTGATAACTAGATCACTGGAAACAGTTATCTCTGTGAGAAAGAAAAATAAAAGAATTCCAGGAAAGATAATGGACATTACTTTCTGATAAAATTATCCATATTTACTGACTGCAAAAAAAGGGGGTGCATTTTTCCAATACAAACCTCATTTAAAATAATTTAAAAAAAAAAAAACCATTCATGATTTAAAATGACAAGTAACCATTTTATTGGTTTTATTAGAGAAATAGAAAGGATCAAGATTTCCATCAAGGAACACCTTCTACTCTGACTATTTACTCAATACATTAGATGTACCACTCAAGTCAATGCAGACTGTCAGCTGTGACTAAAAACAAAACCCTTGATCTGTGTATCAAAATTTGGGAGAGAAAGAGAGAGATGGTAAATTTCAAGATTACAATTGCAGGCACAGCTTGTTAAAGATGGCCCCATCATGGTATAGATAGAATGAGTGTTCCTGACGGACTTAAGCAGGTGACCATCAAAGAGAGTACAATCAACCTCAATGACCTCTCAAATGCACCATGGAAGTTTCGTTAAAGAATTGAAGAAACATCTTAAAAAGAAAATAATAACAGTAAATTCCTTATTCCTATCATGGCACTCAAACAAGCATGGCATTAATATTTTCTATTGGCTACCACTTCGGGAAAACTAATTCAAGAGTAAACAAGCAAAATCTAGCTCCTAACTGTCAGAACCAATGAGAAAGGCGTAAAAGATACCAAGAAATAGAAGCAAAAGAATTGTCTTAATCTAAAATTGATCTTTCAGTTTCAATTTCAAAAGAATCATTTTACAGGCTCCCATAACAGCTTCAACAATCACGATCCCCGTACTTCTGTAAGCAACTAATCCTATATTCCTATTACCTTATAACCATTCCCTCTCTGCAAATAGTGTATCCACGTATGCAGGTTTGTCTATTCTTCTTTCTGTTTTCCCCCTTTTGACTTACTTTTGCTATTCTAAAGTTAAAGTTCCCATTCCTTCCCCAGTCTAATTCAGTTTTGTCACTATCTGCTGCTGAAAAGTAACTTCATAATAACCCTTGAAGATACTTACATTGTAAAACTATGGTTAGCCTCTTCCTCTTCTATACGGACATTATAGAAGCTTAGCAGTTAAGAAAGATAAATCTCTGGTAACATTGGCTTTGGCAACACTGTCAATGCAGTGCGCAGTCATGGATTATAGTGAACAGTGAATAAAGGATGGACAGTGATTTTTTTTTTAACTTCCTCAGCTTGTATCGTTTATAACTCCACTGAAGGGCAATCAGTAATGCTAAATCAACTTGAATTTAGTGCTTTCTAAGAAAATACTGACCGAGTATTTGTACCCAAGTGTAAGAAAAGATTGAACACCAATCATGACATCCCTTTTTTCATATCATTCTCCTCTATCCAGCTTAGTCTTAAGCTGTCAACTCTTGCCATTATTGGAGCTCACTGTTAACTTGTCTCTTGTGTTCATGGTGGACCTATTCGTACTCACAAAATTCTTCATTGCCATCAAAACTAGCAAGATATTCTTCCAAAGGACCTTCCCTAATATGCACAAACCATTTAACAAAACTTGCAGAAAAACAGTTTCTTTGGCTTCAGAATTAGATTGGATGGGACTGGAACTATTGCATGTCCTACTAAAACCGACTGGTCAGACTAAAACAGAGGAGAAGAACAAAAAGTAAACCAAATAAAAAAACTATGAATATGAATCTGGATAAGGAGGATATGTAAACATCTACTGGAGACATTCAATAATAACAAATTTAAAAAAATAAAAACTCCCAAAATCAAATATGAAAGAAAACATTATAATCCTAATCAATATTTATTCCATCTGTTTTCACTTCTCAATAAAATTCCAAATAATTCAAAAAAAAAAAAGACCAAAAGCATTTCATCGAAGAGAGAAAAGAAAGCAAAGATGCATAACTAACAATTAAATACTAAACCCAGAACTAATCTAATTAGGCAAAAAAAAAAAAAAAATACTGCCACAAGGAGGAAAATAGAAAAGTTACCCAATAACTTATTTCAACTGAAAATCCATTTTTTGAACTCCCAAAAAAAAAAAATCAGTACTTTATTAATTTCCATCTTATAAGAAAAAAATAACAGAGGAAAACTCAACTTATAAAAAAAAAATTAATTCAAAGAATAACAACAATACTACAAAAAAAAAAAAAAAAGAAAGAACCCTTTGTTTAAACAACTTAACCAGCTTCAAAAAATAAGTTTGTTCTTTAGTGTTATGTTTGCTTTTGGTTTTCCCAAACTTTCTCAGAAACCAAACACCACGAAAAATTTTCCAAAATAGAAAGGAGTAAAGAAAAAAACCAACCTTTTGCTTAAAGGGTCGTTAGAACAAGTTTCCCGCTAAAACTTGAGGTCCAAAAACAGCAAAAAGCAAAAGCAGCAAAAAAACCCGGTTGAAATCCGACAATCAATGGCTCCTTCTTCTCTCCCAAACCCCTCAGTTCCATCATTCCCAACACCAATCCTACTGGGAACACGACACCTTAAAACACTCTCTTCAAACTGTTCCGTATTTTTTATTTATTATTTTAATTTTTTTCCCTTTATTACTACTACTATATTAATTTTCATACAACTATTTTGTATTCTTTCGTATAATTTTCTTTTTTAAAAATATTAATTGCATTTGTCTCAGTGTTATCGCGATCTATAGTGAGTCAACACCATAACCATTAACATTTTTTTACATTTTCTTTATAAAAAAAATTTTGTTTTAAACTTATCATCTTCCCACCATTGCTAATGTGCGCAGCAGGTGCTTCTTATCCTACGCACCTTTGCCCACTTAACCTACGCATTATCTCACCGTTTTTCGGGTGAAAAATCGCCATTCTATGATCATAACTGTAATTGGTACGAGACTTGAATCTCACTATAAAATATAAAATTTTTTGTGGGGTTTACATAGATTTGAATTATTTTAGATATGATTTCCTTAAAGTTCATATATCAATTGATATTAGAATTACCCTTCGACAATTACAATTGTATGATTCAAGTAGTGATATCGGTGTTGCAATATTAGGTTGAGGTTAGATTAAATTAGTCCAAACCACTTCGCATCGCCGTTGAGATTGCCAAACTTGATCAATTGTTTGATCTTAATTGCAAATGCTATGCGAGTTGAATCCCGTATCAAAAGGATTTCTTTGTAAAATTTATGTGAACTTAGGTTCTTCACTCTAATAGTTTGCTTTTGATAAGTGTTTTTCTTATAGTTAGTATAAAATTAATGTTATGCATATTTTTAAATTATAATAAAATTTTAATTTTTTATATAAAATTTAAAAATTTTTAATGTGATATATAGATTATAAATGTATATATTAATATGATATTTTAAAAATTATTTATATATTACATATCATCATTTAAATTAATTATATTAAAAATAATTATTATTTTAATTCAAATATCATATTAAATATTTTAAAAATTAAAATATTTTTAAAATTAAATAATAATGATCATTTTATTAATTTATTTTAAATTTAAACAACATATTAAATATTTTAAAATTAAAATATTATATTAAACATTTAATTATAATTTAAAAATCGTGACACTAACCAAATTATATCACCTTAAAAGCGGATAAATTGAGAGAGTAAGGTTCAAGCGCTGATTAAGAGCGTGGGGGAGGGAGGGAAGGGGAAGAAAATGGCAAAGGCAAAGGCCAAACGTGTTTCGCGGGAGGAGTTAAGCCGTGTCTTAACTCGCCTATCAAGCGCGTGAAATAGGCGCTTTTGAACTTTTTGTTTTTCTTGATTTTGTTGTTTTGGTAGTGGCATGGTATGGCCAACGGCAAATGGATTGGGAATTTGGGGGTTACTTTGCACTTACTATTTTGGACTTTTGACTTTTTGAGAGTGAAAACAAAAGAAAGAAGAATATTAAGATTTATTACTATTTGGGGTTTATTTGTAAATACTAAGATTTTACTGGGGTAAGAATAAAAATTTGTAAATACCGTATTGATGGCATGTCATATAGAGAAATTCGATAACATTTTTACATGAATAAGGATTGAAATTCAAATATTGTCGATTTCTTATAAATTAAGATTACATTTGACACATAAGATTAATAAAATGATAAGATATTAATAATTTTATCATATTTTTATTATGCACTTAAACTACTTTATTCTTTAAAAAAGTAACAAAAAATTAATTCATAAGATTAATAAAATATGTTTTATTATACTTTTAAAAATTATATTAATAATTTAAATTATATAAACTTAAAAAAAAATAATTTTAATCAATAAATAAATTATCTTATCTTAATCCTTATATACATCAAATATAAGATAAAATGATATTATTTAATATAATCTTATTTATAATACTATCTTATCATATCTTATTATAATCTTATGTACCAATCATAACATAAAATTCTAAAATAAGTACAAAATGTTATCGTTTAGATTAGACAATTTCAATTCGAATGAAAGCATGTTCTTTCTTTGTTTTTTGGTAATGTAATAATATGGCTATTAATATTGTTTAATTGTTTAATAAATACTTCATCCTTCCCATGAAACACTTTGATAATAAATTTTTTCAACTTTGTCACTAAATTTTTAGATGTTTTATTAAACTAATTTCAACAAAAATAGCTACTTGATTAAAAATTAAAAAAAAAAAAACCATAACATACTTGATTCAAAGTTTTTTTAGCAGGCTTTTAAATTTTTAAATAACAAGATTTGAAAATAATATAGTCAAAATTATACAAGTTTGACTAAAACAGTCATGATAAATACTATAGATGAGCCTAAACGGATAAATTAGAATTTTTAATCTTTAAAGTTATTAAAATTTAAATTTTGATCATTGAAATTAAATATTTAGAATTACACCAACTAATCATGTAACTGTTGACATGATAAATTAGATGTCAATAATACTAATATGTTGATAATGTCGAACAATAATTTAGAAAAAATTTAATGATATTCTTATCTTTAGAATGGTAGTCACTAGGAGCTAATATTTTAACAAAAAGAAAAATAGTCCCCTAAGGTGTTTAATATCTTTATTGCAAAGAAATTGAACTTTCCAAAAACATGAATTAATTATGCAAATGATAGAAATTAAGATATCTTTAAGTACAATGTAACAATGGGATAAAAACATCAATGAATAAGCTTTTGCTTTTGACTACCATTGAGCAAGCATCAACTTGGCAAAAAAATAAAACTGGAAAGGGCTTGCTTGCAAACTTTATGTTCTTAACTTTTTAAGAGTAAGTTTATGTTTTAGATATAGAAAATAGAACAATGTATGAAACAATAATTCCTCTTCCTATTATCGAAAAAATTTATATAAAATTTGAATTTTAATTCAATTGATTCGAACAATCATCATTAAAAAATAGCATCTGGTAATTTGAAATTCATATCCTAATGCCTACATCACTTTCTTTATCTTCAAGTTGTGGTATTCTTTATAAAAATAAAAATAAAAAAACATGCATGTATGTAAAAGATCAAATTGAAATTATGGGATAAGGCTCCTCTTATTTTGCATACAAAAGCACATGCTTTACATACAATCTTATATTGAAACTGTTATATTAAAAAAGTGGTATTACCAATAATAATTAACAGTATACACACTTCATCATATGGAAATTAAGTATATAAATAGTGGGCAATGCTTTGTTTAAACCACTTACCCATACACCTACAATATTAGGGTTAGGAGTCCAAACTTTTTATCAAATAATAAATTAATAATTATCTTCAGCTGTTTGATCTAGTGGTCAAGATAACCTTAAAAAAGACATTAAAGCTGGGGTTCGAACCCCAACCTTCTCCCTCCTCCTTAATGTAAAGCTCTGTCTTGCTTAAATGACAAAATAATAATAATAATAATTAAAAAAAAAAAGGAAAGAAAGAACAAAATCCCATTGGGGAGACTACTCCTAATCCATAAGCTAAGGCTGTTAATTAGTTTGAGACAAAATTATATGAATAAATTATAAATAAATTCTTTTTTTATTTAATCGGAAGTTTGGTGATCAGACTTAATCAAGAATGCATGACCCTTCCTCTCGTTTGCCCCTTCACATCTTGCAGGAGGCAAAGCTGAATCTGATCTCAACGTATCCAACTTGTCTCTCTTAACTTCAATTGTTTATTTATTGCATTAGTATTTGTTTAACCTCTTTTTTTTTCTCTTAATAATCAAATCAAGTTTGTTGCTGGTTAATGGGGAATTCTTAAAAATAAATCAGTTATAATTCGCTTATTATTATGAGAGCATATTATTTATAATCATTATAGTATAATTAACTAATTATAATTTAAAATTATGTGAGGTCCATCAAAATTTCAAAACACACATTTAAAAATGCTGAATCCTTACATAATATTTTATAATTAAACAATTGTAGTATTGTAATAAAAAAAAATTGTGGGTGAAATACTTTTTATTATTGTGTGTGCGTGTATATATATATATATATATATATGAGAAATTTTACTTACACTAATGTAATTTTTTTTTATCGTTGGATTAAAATTACTAAATTTAAAAATATTAATTTGATTCAAATGAATTATAAATTTAATTTTGATTTAGAAGTTTAAAAAATGTAAAAATTACTTAATATAAGTGAATTTGTACTCATATAAATAAATAAATATATATATAAATATTCCTGCTCATGCTATTGTTTAAATAAAACTTTAAGATATCAATCCTCTAATTAGAAAAAAAAAAATCAAAGAAAAGTTATCGTCATTAATTCAAGTCAGAATAATTAAACTTCCTAAGATTTTTAAGGATCAAATCGTCCTATCCACTATTTTCATAAAAAAAAATGTTGTGAATTGAAAAAAAAAAAAAAAACACTTCACCGTTAATTTTGATTAATATTGCATAAACAATATCACTCCATACCCTAAGGAAATATCCCAACCATTAGATTTTAAAATTACAATTAAAAGGTTGAGATTTATGAGATGCTTGAAAACAATTTTGTTTGTCAATGAGTAATTCGATCCATAAATAGATTTATTCTAAAAAAGAGAGTAATTCAAAATCATATTGTAAAAAAAAAAATCAACTTTATTTCAATTAAAAAAAGAATGAGACAATTTAGGATGAATTAATTATTTTAAGACTTACGTTAGGGGGTAGCCCACAATAGGGTAGGCAAAATACGAATCTATACCATTTCAATAAAAAATTAAGTTTGTTAAATAGGCAAGTTGGCATAGGGCATTACTTTAATCTATAAACCCTTTTTTTTAATGCATTAGTATAGAAACTTCATGAGAACTTTGAACAATGATCACTTTTGCTTTTATCCATATCTGACTAAAGAAAACATCTAAGGTGCCCAATTCCAACTACTTTAATTTGTTGTCCCAATTGTTAGGACAATTCCGTTCCCATTTTCATGGCATTAGTTCTCGAAATGACATTCAAATGCCATTCTAATGCTGGCTAGCTAGATAGGATACCATGGATTCCATATGCATTAATTAGCAACACTACAAAAATAGTGGTAGATGGGGAGCTAGCTTTTCTACAAT